AAATTGCCATCATAAAGACCTACAGTTAATGTTATTTCAATGTATTGGATACTCCAGCCTCCAGCAACTGAGATCACATGGGTTATGGCAAAGTGGCTCTGCCAGGTTACATGCACCGACACACAATTTTCGAAGAAAAAAACACAACTATGCAGCAGCAACTTTCCAAATGGAAGAATCAAATTTCATTGTCATACCTGCTTACTTCTAGTGATGATAGTTCTTTAGAGTTTTGAGAGTGCAGAATCTTTTCAATTTTCTCAACTGATTTAATAACTTGAATTAATCTCAAGACACACATCTGTTTGAAAAAAAGGAAAAAGTTATGTTCTCTTAACAAGTTTGGGGGTATTTTTGGAAACCATTTGATCCCAAGACAGAGGTTACTCATTTTCAATTTTCCAGAAATTTAAATATTATTTTGTAAGTATTAGGCTACCATGCAATTCTTCAAGAGTACCACTGTGCCAAAGCGACCCTCACTCCTTTGTGCCAACTGAGTCACAAAATCCACAACTGCACACAGCTCCCAGGTACACTTGGCATTTTCAGGCAAAAAGTGTGTAGGCTGTTTCTGAGCACACATGGAAGACAGAGCTCCTACTGATTATAGTCAAAGGAATCCATGAGAAAAACAAAAGAAGTAACCAAAACAGAACTCCTATGATTTATTTTAACCTATTTGAACAGCATGAGTGGGAAATAGTTCATCAATAAGAAAAGTAGCAGAAATACTCTGATTTTCTAAAGGCAACCTGGAATTAAATCAACTTTTCATTTTTCCTTGCTGGGCAAGTTGCATGAAGTAATGCCTCCCTTGGTTAGTGATTAGGTCTAAACAAGGTGTCTATATATACACGTTTGTCTTTTGTTCACCCATTTTGTCATTTTAATGGAGAAAGGCAAACACATTTCCCTGCTGTACCTTTTTTCTTCTGATATCTTCTTGCTTAGATAAACATTCATCAATTGCTTGAATTCCTTCACTGACACATGACTTAAGGCTCTGGAAAAAATAAGAATAAACTTTCAAAATTTTCTAATTTATAGGACAAAAACATCTTATTTTAAAATTATATATATGTATACACACACACATATTCTCTCTCTTTCTCTCTCCCCCTTAATGAAAAGGCCACTAGAAGGCAAAAGGGGCTTTTTCATTTAAAAAAACCATACTGTACTTTTTGATCAACAGAAACTTTCTTTACAGTATTACAGTTACTGTAATTTCCTTTCAAAAAATAAAAATATGCCAAGTAGCCTCTTTAGCCACACCCCCTCCCTTTAGCCCCACTCTCTTTGGATTTGCCCTTCAGGTTGCCAGCAAATTTGAAAAATGGCTGTCACCTCCACAGATATTACCCACCCCTCCAGTAACGGAATGGAATACGGCCCTTTTAGGTTTCAATGGAAACTCAAATTATGAAGAATCCACCCTTTACAAACTGACTCTCTGAAGCATTAAATGCCAACAGAATCAGTACTCAGAAGACAGGTTGGAAGGTAGCTCCTGGAATACTGAGTTGATTAATAACCAAAGCCTCTAAGGCCCAACATGTGAGAACTGATGATGACAAAAGAACTTGAAAAATTAAATGTGGGAAAGTTCAACTTCAAAAAGTGAAAGATTCTTTCATCTTTTTTTGCCTTTTAATCTCACAGAGGCCCTGTAAAATTGGAAAAGTTCTAGTATCTACAAATTGCAATAGTTATCTTTGGACAGCGGCAGTTTACAGTTATTTCACCAATTTCATTCCATTTCTATTATTTCAGTTCATGAGGTCATCGAACTCATTGCAGGCCTTGCTGGTTCTTGATAATACTCTTTATTTTTAGTAACATCTACATATTTAATCAACACAGTCCTACTTCTCTTCCGCCCACAAAATAAATGTAGGCTTATTTTTAATTGACCCTACTTGCGTCCTCCAAGTACTTCATTGTCACAAGCCTAAAACAAGAAACCAATTAGTCTGCACATTTGAGAATAAATAGAAAGGATTTTAAGATATTACTTATCTTAGTCATGACACAGATTATGAATATAACTAGGAATACAGTGGTCCCTCGCTAGACAGTTACCCCGCATGACAGTTTTTTCGCTAGACATTGGCTTTTTGCAATTGCTATAGTAATTCGCAAAACAGTGATTCCTGTGGGGGAATTTCACTGGACAATGTTTGGTCCCTGCTTCGCAAACCAATTTTCGCTAGACAATGATTTTGACAGCTCCCTCCGCACTTGCAAAACGGGGGTTTTCGGGACCTAAGCTTCGCAAGACAGCAATTTAAACAGCTGATCAGCAGTTCCCAAAGCGGCTTTCCTGTGGCCAAACTTCGCTAGACAACGACGATTCTTCCCCATTGGAACACATTAAACAGGTTTCAATACATTCCAATGGGGAAATGCTTTTCGCTAGACAATGATTTCGCTAAACAGTGATTTCAGTGGAACGGATTATCATTGTCTAGTGAGGCACCACTGTCGTACATTCCTTCCATTAGCCCATTTATCCACAATGGCTCCCTCATGGAATCAAGTTGCAAGAGCATGTCTTTGCTACTATAGAAGCCAAAATGGTACCCCCCAAAGTCCATCAGATCTAGCGCCCTAGGTCTGTGCACCAGTTCTGGACAAATGCCAAATTATTCCATGTCAAATAGGGGCTATTTGTGTCAATACAAACATTTGCCATATATAAGTGAGAACAGCTCTGATCTCACTATGGTGTAGATTGGGACCATTACAGAAAAATACAGGACTTAGAGAATTAAAAAAGATATGTGTAAAGCAGGAGAAGGGAAACAAAAAGTTACAATGTCATATACAACAGACACTGACATTACAGGAGTTAACCAAATACTGCAACAACCAAACTGTTATATGTATATGTTTGGGACTTTGTCACGTTACAGTATCTTATTTACTTGATCTTTTTATTTACCCTGTTTGTCATTTAAATAAACCTTGTTCTTTTATTTGTTAAAATCCATTCCTGGTCTGTGTGACTCCTTATAGGGAATGGTTGGTGGCAGCATAGTTATAGTGTGGTATATCCCAGTAGGTCTGGGGTTGCTACACCCCCCAAAGCCCATCAGATCTAGCCCCCTAGGTCTATGCACCAGTTCTGGCCAAATGCCAAATTATTCCATGTCAAATAGGGGCTATTTGTGCCAATACAAACATTTGCCATATATAAGTGAGAACAGCTCTGATCTCGCTATGGTGTAGACTGGGACCATTACAGAAAAATACAGGACTTGGAGAATTAAAAAAGATATGTGTAAAGCAGGAGAAGGGAAACAAAAAGTTACAATGTCATATACAACAGACACTGACATTACAGGAGTTAACCAAATACTGCAACGGGAAAGAAATTAGGCTTTTCTGACTGACCGGTTTACCTTCAGGGAAGACAAAGGGCTTCTCCTATGCTTTCCAATCACGGAGAACATTGTGAGGGTCTTTGAGTGATGTCACTTGGGTTTTATATTATCTTGCACATTATATTCTCAGTTCATTTAGGTGATAGTGAGGCACTGCACTGGCCTATTTTGCTTCACTTTAGTTTAGGACTGAGTATGTGTGACTGAGTTGGATGCTTACTTTGTGTGGCTTTGGTCACTTTTAGAACAGTAGGGTCTGTATTTTTCTGCCACCCACCCCCTCTTTCCCCTCTACAGAGAAACAAGAAGTTGTAGCCTGAACCAGATAAGCCATTTAAAGAAACACTTATTTGCTCTTCTGGAGGGGGGAAAAAGGTGCAAATATTTGCATACATACAACCCTTCAAGTCAGTTGCAATGGATTAAGCCAATAGCTGAAAAACTGAGAGAAAGATCATATTCAGCAGTATTTTTGTTTCTTTTCTTCCTATCTGAAAGGTTCTTAAAATCCTTCCAAAGAAGTATTTGATTTCCTAGAGAATTCCTATATTTGAACATCATAATAAAATTAGTGCATACACTTTGGCTTCCTTTCAAAATCATAGAAAATTCACTCAAAAACCAGTTAAGCAAATGGCAAAGATTTAACAGGAAGCCTGTTTCAGAACATACCATAACTTCCTCTCGAAGCTGACCCAAAGGTACAGAAAGCTGGTTAAGGGCTTTGTCCATACCAACCTAAAGAAAGTGTCAAGATCATTATTATTATTAGTGGATACTTGAAACAAATCATTTCTCTCACTTGTAGAGTTTTATACTATATTTCAAGGGCTTTGTCCATACCAACCTAAAGAAATTGTCAAGATCATTATTATTATTATTAGTGGATACTAGAAACAAATCATTTCTCTCACTTGTAGAGTTTTATACTATATTTCCCTAAGAGTTCACTGTTGTTCCTATACCAGCAAAACACCACTCATAAGTTGCTAGTTTGCATTTTCTAGATGGCTGAAAACAATGTTGCCCCAAATCATGTGTAAATAACACTAGTGAAATCGAAGGGACACAAAATTCCCTATTAAGTTATTCAGAAAGCACACGAAGAACATATACAATGAGGGAAGCATTCTAGCCTTGCCCCTTTTGTTGTGAATTTAATTATGTGGAAGTTCTGAAGACTGTATGCTCCCCATGTGAGTCAGAACCAAGAAAAAAATGGGTTTCTGGCTCACCTGGAGACACATACATACAACTCTCACCCTCTTCAGGCTATCACTTATGTCTAATGAAAGTATGGAGACTAAGGCAGAATTCTCCCCTCATCACGTGTACTCTCCCCTCATCACGTTCACTCTCGAATTGGCCTCCTCAGCCACACTAGACGCTGTTCCAAGTCCTCCATACAGAGCACGCTACCATAGTCTTTCGAGACTGAAGGATGCCTAACGTGTACTCTCCAGACTCTTTCAGAATGACTGAATGGGATTAAACTCTGGACGCAAACTAAAGCCTGTGTGCCCAACTATCACATCTTATTCAGTCATATTTCTCAATCTTTCAATAACCATTGATTCTGGTCCAAGGAAACTCATTTAAAATCTCCATTCAGTTAGGACACTTGATGACACAAACCAAGCCACTGAGACTCAAACAGTACAGAGTAGAAGGGACATGTCATAGATAAAGGAAAAAAACAAGCAAAACAAAAATGTGGATTCAAATCCCTGAGTTGTAATATGGGGGGGGGGACCTTCCTGAAACTGCCATTTTGTGGATGCATAAAAAGAAAGATAAACCTGACCGAGAATCCGTGAGCATCACTAGTCCCACCCCTGGTGGTGGTGGCAGCGGCTGGGTTTGCTGGCAAAAATTCCATGGGCTCTGGATTGTGAAAATCAAGGACAGTCTTTATTATGACTACAGAACCAACAGGAACAGGAATAGCGGGGGTGGGGTTGAGTTTGAGTTCCCTGCACCAACTCCCCACCACCACCAATGAAAAGTCCTTTCAAGAGAGTCCCCTGTTAAGGCCACAGGGAACCCTGAGAAGCATGATCTGGCCAAGTGCGAGAAGAGGTGGAATCTTGACCCTGGCTGAAGTTTCTTCAAGCAGGGTGGGGGATAATGGTGCTTGCTCCTCTGCTCCTCCTGGAGCCTCTCTGTCTTTCACGCCAGCACCTTTGCCACCAGCACTGTGGCTGGGTCAGGGTGGATGCCATTGGATAAGACTGGCACCAAGGTCATTCAGAGGTACCGCAGGCTCCTAGAGTCCTGTCCCTGGGGTCTTTCGTACACAGCCCCTTCCCCTTACTCAATGGGCAGAGCTCAGGAACTTCAGACCAGGACTCCTCTTCTCAAGCAGTCTGCACCTCAGCTCAGGAACAGAATTGGGATTCCAAGCTCTGTCATCCCTTCCCACATCCCCACCTCTTCTGAAGTCTCTGTCTCTCCCTCTGTTTCCCTGAAGGAAGCCCCTCAGCCTTCCCAGTCCTTCTCTTTTATTTTGGCCTTTGTCCCACCATCTCCCCCGCGCAGGCAACCATCATTAGCCAGCTTGCTTGCAGATGCCTGTCATCCCTTCCCACTGCTTACTAGTGGCCCAGGACTTATGGCCTCAAGCAGCCCATCCAGGGTGCTGGTGACAACCCCCTCGCAAAGTCTAAAAACACGTCAGCACTTGCATGTATCAACTCACTCTCCCCCACTGCAATCTGCTTGCCTACCCCAACCAGTATGTCCACTTACCAAGTCCTCTCTAGAGTCCATATGTGTCTCCTTAAAGTTTCAAGTGCTTCCCTGCTTACAGTACTCTTAATGTTAGAAACTTGGTGTGCATATAGAATATTTTAAAATACAGTATATATACTATACTAGATCATCAAACTTTACATAAAACACCCAATGTGAAGACTTACCAGATTGGTAGAGAGATTAACAAAATCTGCATAATCTTTGTTTATGAGTTCAATCATTGCAGTTTTAAGCAGTTTGTAGTAAAGCTCGAGATCATCTCGAAGTTCCTCCAACTGAACACGTTTTCTGCACTCAGACACAAAGTGATCAACATCAAAGTCTGGCTGCATGGGAAACATGGAGGGAAAAGTACATTCAGAGACTGCCCATTGCAGAAACTGTAATTCCTGTAATTTTATGTTTAGGTTAATGAATTAGGTTTGTGAGTTCGATCCCCATTGTGCATCCCAGGAGCAGAGCCAGCCTCTGTAATCTTGGGTAAGCTGAACAGTTAGGAATGGTAAACCAGTTCTGTGTCATCTATGCCTAGAAAACCCCTGAAGGGGGTCACCAAGAGTCGGAATTGATTTGACCTGTATGTTACTTTGTCAGGTAGCTGCCAAAGTAACATACAGATCTAATGTCAGGAGCTGTTCTCATTTTAAATACCACATGAAAAAAGTTGATTCTCCGAAGACACAGAAAGCTTAAACAGATCAACCCTAGATCAGATCATCACGAAGGAGAGGGAGCTGGCAGATCATCTGCTATTTTGAAAGCCCTCCTGGTTTAAAGCAGTCATCGCAGGTGGCTGGCCTTCCCTTCGCCTCATCCTCTGTTACTTTCTCTTCCCACTGATTCCAACTATCTATGCCAGCCTGACTTAAGCAAGGGGCTTGATTCTGAAGCCTTATCAGGGAATGCAGGAGGCCTCTGACCCAAAATCATTACTGGCAATAAATTTATACACATTAAGTTTTCCAAAGAAATACTAGGTCCTTCCATGCAGATCCCGCCTAACCTCAGACTTCTCTACTGGCAGAGCAACACTTTTGCCCCAACTTAATTTCTCTTGAAGATTTTAGCATTATATTTTGGCAATGTGTTATTGTGATCCTATCCCATATATTTTACCTCATTACGCTAAGTTGCTCTTAAAGAAATACGCTGCACGCCAAAGTATTCCAATAAAACATGTTTATTATTTAACAAATCATCTGTTTCATTCACATTAACACCTCCCATCTCTGGTTTAACCAACAAGTCATAAATTTTAACTTTTGAGTAATATGTTAAATCCTTTCTGAAAGACAAGGGTGAAGAACCGTCAACTTCTTGACTCCATTTAGGTACAGCGCCCGAAACCTCAGGTGTCTGTTCCATTAAAATCACTGCTGAGGGTAGTTAAACCCAGCCCATCTGTGGCTCCCAAACCTTCTTGCCCTTGTTCTATCTCCATGGTCTGAACTAGAAATGGGGATGACTCACCATTTTGGAGAGTCGTCCCACTTCGTGGGACAAAGTTGCCCCCATGAAACGATGAATAACAAAGTTATTCGTTGATTCGTGGGAGATTAAAAAACACACACACCCTCACCCTGCTGCCACTGCCCCCCGCTGCCACCCCCCACCTTCATTTAGGGTAGGGAAGCTGCAGCTGCCATCTTTGCAAAGGGCAGCCAGTCTCCCTTTTTACATGTTGTGGCTGGGAGGCCAGATGAAGACCTCGGCAGCAGCGATTAAGGTAAGGGGATGTCAGTGGAGGTGGGGTGGGGGCTAAGGTAGGGAGAGGAAGGGGGTGGGGTATAGGCTGTGTTGGTGAATGGCTGCCTATCAGCCGCTGATCAGTTGATTGGCGGCTGGTAGGCAGAATGGGTTTTGTTTTGTTTTTAATACAAAGGATGAATAAAAACAGGTAAATATTAGTCCCTTTGTATTCATGGGGGTCTCTGGAACCCACGA